TCCTCTCTCTCTCTCTCTCTCTCTCTCTCTCTCTCTCTCTTTCTCTCTCTCTCTCTCTCTCTCTCTCTGTTCATCAAAACATTGCCGGTGTTATTTATGTTGTAAACAGGGAATCACTACTGCTGGTGAAGACACACCAGGAAACAGACTGGAATACTAACTATGCTAGCTGGCATTTCTCTTACCATCAAAAACACCACGGTAGAGAACTACTGTTCTGAAACACTGGATCTTTAATTTGAAGCCACATGAACCAGCCACTTGGAAGAGCTCTGTAAAGTTCTTTAAAGCATGGGGTATAGAGTGAAGGGGAGGCTCAGCAGTTAAGAGTACTTGTTGCTATCACAGAGGACATGGGTCTGGTTTCCAGCACTCACATGACAGCTCACAACCATTTGCAAGTCCAGTTTCAGGGGATCCTATGCCCTTCTTTGGTCTCTGCAGGCACTGCCCACATATGGTACATATACATAGATGCAGGCAAAACACCCATACCCATAAGAAAAATAAATAAGTCTTTTTAAAAATGATAAAAATCAATGAGGTAAAAGGCTCCAGAGTTACTAATTCAGTGGTTCTGAGGTGACAACTGAGAGGCTGCTCAGGTTGTTTCCAGCACACAACTAATTAGTTGGGTCCTAGATTAAAGTCCTAGGAAGTTTGGGTACAGAAAGAAACCAGTTACTTGACAAATGAGTAGATCTGCCCCCCCCCCCCAGTCTTTAGACACATATCTTTCTTTTTTACATTGCCACAGTCAAAATGAGGGGAGCATGGTGGAAAAGGGGAAAAAGGAGAGTAGAAATCAGGCAGAAAAAGGGAAGGGCGAAGGGAGAACTCTCCTAATGGACCCTAACAGTTCAGATTTTGCCAGTGTTCTCATTTCTACTATAACTGTACTGCAAAGCTTCCTCTCTGTGGCTGCCCACATTACCTCCTGTTCTCTTGCTATGTTTACTACTCTTTAGAGATCTTAATTGGAGTCACTCAAATTTTAATACTCTCTTGGTTATAGGGAAATGCCAGGACTGCATAACTTTATATCTAAGGTATTTAGAATTGAAGCACAAATGGGAATTTATGGATAATTGCATAACATTCTAACATTAAAGTTGATATTAGAGGAGTTAAATCTAGCCTCCCCTTTGTATGTTCTCTCTTATTTTGCTAAAGATTCTTAATATGTATATTCTCAATGTGCCCCTAAATGCCAACGTTTTAGTTTCAAAATACATGGAAGTTTATATAAATATTTCACCAGCACAGTCAAGAGAGTTGAGTTAAAATATTACAAAAAATCAGGTGAAATGCAACAAAACAAAGGAAACAAACAACCCAAAACAACAAGAGAAACAAAAGAGGGGGACTGGAGAATTGGCTCAGAGGTTAAGGGCACTGACTGCTCTTCCAGAGGACCTGGGTTAAATTCCCAGCACCCACATGGCAGCTAACAACTGTCTGTAACTACAAGTCTGACACCCTCATACAGACATACATGCCCAAAGAACACCAATGCAAATAAAAATAAATAAATTATAAAAAACAAGAAAGAAACAAAAGAGAGTTTTGAGAGGTAAGCCATATGTTTCATACCTTGGGTTATCTCCAAGAAACTTCTTGTCATAAAATATGTAAGTGAAGGCAATGAATACAGTCACACCAATAACAACGGCATCTAGGGTGTTCAGTAAATCAGAAAAATACTGTTGTCTCCTGGAGCAGGGAGATGGGAGAGTTTCAGAGCACAGTAATCTCAGGAAGAAGCAGGTGGGTTATCCTAACCTCACCTGACATCCTAACCACTTACTGTCTCCTGATTTCCCCCCCTGTCACCTATATATAGTTCTGTCTCAATCACATGTATTTTGTGGGGTGTGAAGATCGGTTGGAGTTGAGACGCTTCTAAGAGTTATCACCTGTGATGGGGTAGAGGTGCCCAAGCTGTTCATGCTCCTGTAAATTACCTCAATAAACTCACTAGTTCATCAAAATAATGAGAGTCCAATCTTAACATGTTAAAATGCACTATCAAAACTACTGGATTGAGGGGGAAAGTACAACATCAATGGAAAATTTTCAAGTGGTAAATTCATATTTATGCATGCATCCACCCATTATCTATCTATCCATCTAGCTATCTTTTTTCTATCTATCTATCTATCTATCTATCTATCTATCTATCTATCTATCTATCTATCTTTCTATCTTTCTATCATCTGTCATCTGTTTATCATCTATCGTCTATCTTTCTATCATCTGTCTGTCATCTGTCTATCTAAAGTGTCAAGATAGTAATTCACAGTTAATCAGTAAGAGACAAAAGGAAACCATTGAGTAAAAGGCAAACACTTCCTTCTCCTTTGTAAGAAAGGAGGTAGACACAATGCATTTCTGATGAGCAAATGAAGCTGAATATGGAATTTAGAGAAACTGGGATTGTGAAAGGGTATAAAAGGAACTTATTATACATAGAGAGGGCTCCATTATTTCAAACTCATGATCTGGCTTTGCACACATCTGGGGTTTCAGTGAACTGATATGGTCTGCCCAGGGCAAAACAGGCTTCCTTTCTTCACATGTGATCACTGGTCTTCTAGAAAAAGTTTCTTCTGGTTTTGAGATAGCATCTATTTTTAGATGGATGTTTTCCAATTATCTTAGTTAGGGTTTCTGTTGCTGCAAAAAAAATACCATTACCAAATGCTCTCTTAAGAACTCAGGACCAACAGCCCAGGAATGGCACCACCCACAATGGGCTGGGCCCTCTCACATCAATCACTAATTAAGAAAATGTTCTACAGTTGATTCTTATGGCTGATGTTTCTTAATTGAGGTTCCTTCTTCTTAGATGACTCTAGTTTATGTATCTGTTTTGTGATCTGAGTTCCATAGGGTTCCTTAGAGGATTATCAGTGAGGGATTATTTAGAGAAGCACGGGCATCTTACCAATGGCTACACCACTGAAGAAAAATGGTAAGAGAACCTTTTTTAGACTCCGAGAAACTGGGCAGTGGACGACTATTCTTAGATCAAAAAAGGATAAAAACAAAACAAAACAAAACAAAACAAAAAACAAACAAAAAACACCTCTTAGGAAAGGAGATAAATTGTACTCTGAGATGCTCTGAGAATAAAATGAAGCTGGAGAACTTAGAGCAATCTAACATCAAGGCATGGCTCACCTAACCACCTGCTAGAAAACCAGAAAGGAAAGATCAAGGTCTGTTTCACTGTGGTGTTGTTGATGGAAAGAAGGTGCCTCTAAACACTGAACTATAATTAACATTTTAAAATTTTCGTGGAAATCTGAACTATTTGTGAAATACTCTTTAGTGTGTCATCAAATCCATTTTGGAATTCGAGTTGATCAATATTAGCATTTGTATATAACTATGGTAATTTGAATGTCGTTGGCCCCCATAATCTCATAGGGAGTAGCACTATTAGGAGGTGTGGCTTTGTTGGAATGTGTATGGCCTTGTTGGAGGAAGTGTGTCACTGTAGGGGTGATTTTCTATGCTCAGGACACTTCCCAGTGTCTCATTAGACTTCCTGTTGCCTGCAAGCCACGATGTAGCCACACGCCCCACCATGATGACAATGGACTGAAACTCTGAAACTGTAAGCAAGCCACCCCAATCAAATGTTTTCTTTATAAGAGTTGCTGTGGTCCTGACATGAACAACGGGGAGCTCTTGGTCCCCAGACTGATAGCTGGGATACTAGCATGGGACTGATCCAGACCCCTGGAAAGTAGGTTTCAGTGAGGAGACCTCAGAAATCTACGGGACCTCCTGTAGTAGTTCAGTACTTATCCCTGGCATAGACGTGGTCTTTGGGAGCCTAATCCACATACAGGGATATTCCCTGAGCCAAGACACATGGGGTGGGCCTAGGCCCTCTCCCAAAGGATATGATAGACTCTGATGACACCCTTTGGAAAGCCTCACCCTCCCTGGGGATCAGAAAGGATATGTGATAGGTAGGGTTTTAGTTGGGGGGTGGTAGGGGAGGAGGAGAGGGAGTGGAAACTGGGATTGTCATGTAAAACAATCTTGTTTCTAATTCAAATAATAAAATTTAAAAAAGGAACTACAAACTGTTGACTAGAGTGTCTATACCACTTTCCATTCTCAACAGCAGTTTATGACTATTACTATAATAAATCTTGTCAACACTTGTCATTAAACAAATGTTCAGCCTTTATATTTTATGTGTATCTGTTGTCACAGGCATGTGACAACATGTCCCTCTTCTCTTCTGTCCTCTCTGTCTCCGTGTCTCTTTACCTCTTTTCTCTTTCCTTCCCCTCCCTCCTCTTTCTAATCAATGGCATGAGCTGTTTTTCCTTTTTCCTATTGTTTTTTTTTTACTATATTTACCTTAATATCTATTTTGTTTTTATAAATAAAACTTTACTGTAAGGAACTTTCAAATAAAAAATGTTATGAAAAACAAGAAAGAAAAAGGGTTGTTGTGGTCATGGTGTCTCTTGACAATCATAAAAACCCTAAGACAGAAGTTGGTACCAGGGACTTCGGTATTGCTGTGATAGGCCCCATGTTTTTGTTTTGAGAAATATGGACTTTGGAAGTTTGGGCTAGGAAAACAGTGGAATGCTTTAAGCACTGCTTAATGGGCCATACTAGTAGGAGCATGGAAGACGGTGGTGCTGAAAATGATTTGATGAACTGTGAGATCAAGAGGTTTCAGATAAAAAGAATGTCAGTTTGTAACCTAGAGACTGGTTGTAAGGATGCAGGCATTATGCTGGCCTGCCCCTGTCACCTGGCAGAATGCACTCAGCCAGTACCCTCGTCAACCTAGGGTTCCATGGTTGTGTAGTCTGCACGCAGGTGCAAAGGACACCTTTAAAAGACAGACCCTGCCCACTTATGCTCTCTTTCCCTCTCTCTTTCCTGCTGTTCCCCTGGGGCAGACAGGATTTTTCCTGTCTCCCTCTTCTCTTCTGTCCTCTCTGTCTCCGTGTCTCTTTACCTCTTTGCTCTTTCCTTCCCCTCCCTCCCCTTTCTAATCAAACTTCTTAATTATGCTCTGTCTGCCTGGCATGTTTGTCCCTCCACCTGGGTCACCCTTGTCTGCCATGGAATCTGCCAAGGTTACCCACGAGTTTTATCATAACACCGGTCTTGTAATATTTTGGTCAAAAAACTGTCTGCCTTTTGCTCTTGTCCAAAGAGTCTGCTGAGGCTAAAGTGAAGAGTTTTGAATTAATTCTCTTGGCAGAATAAATCTCAAAACAACCTAGTATAGACTCTGTTATGTGGTTATTAGTGGTAACTCTAATGAAGATTTATAATAAAAAGGTGAAAGCTGAGCAGGGTAAATGACAAAATGTAAATTTTGAGGAGAAAAAGAGCACCAGAAATTGTAATGGAGCTAAATCCTGTGTTCAAGGAGATAAATGGATTAAGAAATGGAATAAAGGGAATGGTGACCCCAGGGCAAGATCCCACCCAGCTAAATTTCCAACTTGTGAAAAGGAACTAAAAAAAAAGCATAGAGCCAGGTGAGGTGGTGCATGCCTTTAATCCCAGCACTTGGAAGGCAAAAGATTGGTGGGTCTCTGAGTTTGAGGCCAGCCTGGACTAGAGATACAGTTTCAGGACAGCCAAGCTTAGGCTGTGAAGGACAAAAAGCTGGTGAAGATGTTATTGAACAAGGCGGCCTAGCAAGCAGCAAAACCTGGCAGCATCAGCCATGTGGTTCTGGCTTTAGAGTTAAGGATAAAAGAAATGGGTTATGGAATTTGCCTCTACACTTAAAGAAAACCGATGAGGACAGGCAAGTGTCAGGGGTGTCACTGAATGATGAAGGCCTAGAGAGGCCATTTTGTGAAGCTATGAAGTTGAAGCCTGTATTGCCTTGGAGACCCCAAGATGTTGGAGATGCCAGAGTTGTGGGATACCTTTTGAGGAGAGGTGCTAAAAGGAACTTGAAATAGCCCAAGAGAAATAAATGTGTTACAGTCAACAAAGCTGAACGGAGTTGGAGATCTGAAGAGTGCTTTAATATTAGACATAAAGATGCAGAGTTTGGAGTTTCTCCAGCTTGTTTTCTGTCTTGCTTTGGTCCAGTATTTCCTCACTATGCTACCTTCCCTACATTTTGAAATGGTAATATATAACCTGTGCCATTATATGCTGAACATATGTTATCTGGTTTTTTATTTTAATTTTACAGAGGATTACAGTTAAGAGATTGCATGCATCTCTCAAAAAGAGACTTTGAACTTTGGACTTTTAAACATTGTTGAGACTATGAGACTTCTGAGTTGGACTAAATGCATTTTTCATTATGATATGGCTATAAACTTATGGGGGCCAGGGAATGGAATTTGGTGGTTCAAATGTAATTGACCCCCATAATCACAGGGAGTGGCTCTATTAGGAGGTATGGCATATGGCTTTGTTGCAGTGGATTTGGCCTTGTGTCACTGTGGGGATGGGCTCTGAGGATTTCATGCTCAGGATACTGCCCAGTGTGTCAGTTAACTTCCTGTTGCCTGCAAGATGGACTCTCAGCTTCTCCTCCAGCACCACATCTACCTGCAGGCTACCATGCTCCCCACCATGATAATAATGGACTGAACCTCTGAAGCTGTGAGTGAGCCACCTCAATTAAATGTTTTCTTTGTAAGAATTGCCATGGTCATGGTGTCTCTTCACAGCAATTAAAAACCCTAACTAAGACAATCACACAAAAAATGTTCCTTTTATTCATGTACATATAGACACAATGGTTGTCTGGCTCATCCCTGAAGCCCTTTTAAGTTTTAGCAATTGAGAAAATCATCTACAATACATTGTTGAAGAATAGAGGTACAATGGCAGCACTGACAAAGCTTTCTACATAAACTGATTTTAGATTATTGCTTTTTCTGCAGAACATACCTATCGGGAGAATCATTTTGATGAAGAAGGAACCATTTGGTTGAGTGGATCTGACAGTTCTTACAGGAAACTTCTTACATAACTGCAAAAATGGCTTATGCTTTTTAAGAAAGATAAGCAGAATCACACTTACCCTTCTACATACACTCGAAGAAGAACATCCACGAGGAAAAACAAAGCAATAGCAAAAGAAACCGAACGATATTCCAGAGGAATATAAAGTTGGTTTTTAACGAGATGTAGATCTATAGACACAAAAACTATGTCCAGAAATATCAGCATAATTCCAAATACTCTGAAATGAATAAACAAAGAGAATGGAGGTGTTGCCTTCATAGTGACAAAATATTAAAGCCAATGCTCAGATGCCGCCTCCCCGCCCCGCCCCGCCAAGTCCTCATTTAGAGCTAAACTGTTCTATGCCAGGAAGAACAATGCTGTTTTAGCATCCTAAGAAAATGTTCCATTTTCACCCAATAAAAGCAGTGGTTAAAATCTGCACAAAGTCCCTCCACACTTCCTTTAGCAGGGATGTCAGTTTAGCACTCCAAGCTAGAACAACAAATCTAAATTAAAGTCACAAGCTTCTTGGTGTAAACACTTTTAATGCTCAGAATTCATAAGGAGTTTTTTACGATTTTCTCATAATAAACAAAATCACATTAGTCTGAATAACTTTAAGAATTTAGCAACAAAAAGAAGCAAAAGCATGAATAACATATTCCCTTTAAAAAACACTTTAACCTCTGGGCGTTGGTAGCACACTCCTTAATCCCAGCACTCGGAAGGCAGAGGCAGTTGGATCTCTGTGAGTTCTAGGCCAGCCTAGTCTCCAGAGCGAGTGCCACAATAGGCTCCAAAGCTACACAGAGAAACCCTGTCCTGAAAAACCAAAAAAAACCCAAAAAACAAAAAAAAACCACTTTAACCAGTAAATACATGATTACATATTCATAGGTTCATGCATGGATCCTGCACACAGGGCAGATATATGAGAAAGAAAGAATTCAATTCCATATATATTGCATGGTTAATTGGACTTAATTATCCCTAAGTCTTTTCTTGCAGTCTCAAAAAAAAAACTCCTTATAAATTATTTCCCTAAACTACAAAGATAAAACAACTCAACTTTAAAGTGTGTTTTTAAACAACTACCAATCCAATTAAAATATTAACTTGGGGGTCAGCAAATGTATGCATTCTTATTTTTACATTTATAGGTAGAAAAACACTAATATGCCAGTATTTAGATTTGAGTGAAGGTTATTTCTTTGTACATCTTACTGTTCAGTCTTAACTAAACTTCCAAGATAGATTAGATCACATTAAGTGTGGATACACAAGGTAATTAGCAACACATTGACAATGGATGTTCTTTTATTTTGTTCTCTCTTGCTTTTTGCAGGTCATTTCTCATTAAACTTTTAAAATTAAATGTAATAATCATTTAATTACTTTCATTTCAAGACTCTCACATACCTGAAGGCAACTGATGATACAAGGAAAAGCACTACTTCCTTAATCGTGTTGCTGTAAAAGTTAATAAAATTAAATCAATCACAAATTCCTCCTAACATATATTATGAATTTAGCAAAACAAAATCTCTTCATAAGTATAAATTTTAAATAAAAGCACTCAAAGATGTATATCAAAATGTTCTGTGCTAGTAATTAAAATGTTTATACTGCTTTTTTTGTGTTCCTATCTAGGATATATATGAATAAAACACCATGCTGTGGATAGTTAGTAACATATCTTTGCATGTAAAGTTTCAAATTCAACTTTAAGGGAACATTAAGCTTGGGACCAACCAAATTAAGCATCGTGGCATGGATATGGAAAAGTGTGGTTTTAAAAAGTGTTCTGATATCAGCTCTTCTATTAGCAAGTTAGGATCTCAGACAAGTCATAAAACTTGGAGATAGCTAAATGTCTTAGCAATAAAATAATGGGCTTCTTTTTAAAAATACAAACTAAAGGAGCACTCCCAAACTCTTCCTGTAAAGCCAGTATTTTTCTAATACCCATGTCAGGTAAAGATACAACAAAACTACAGACAGATATTCCTTATAAACATAGATACAAAAATCCTCAGTGAAATACTAGCACACTGAATAAAAACCCATGTTTACAAAATCATTTTCCATGACAAAGTTGGCTTAATCCTGGAATTACAGTGTTGGTTCAACATACATGACAGTAAATATAGTAAATCATACAAATAATTTAAGAAAAATAATATGGTTATTTCAAGAGATGTAAAAACAGTCTTTGGAAAAATCCAACATGGTTCATGATAAAATCCCCAGAGAAGCAGAACTGGAGGTAATGGTGCTCAACATATTAAAGGCTATCAGTGATAAACCCACAGCCACATCGTCCTCAAAGGAGAAAAACCCAAAGAATTTCACTAAAATCCGGATGGCACAGGCCTGTCAATTATCCCACAATACAGTGCTGGAAGCACTAGCCACAGCAATAAGGCAGGAGAAGGAAATTACAAGTCTATGAACAAGAACAAGAAGTCGACTCATTCTTATTTGCCAATGAATGACTACCCAATAGTGCAGAATTCTCAATATATCTATAATTCAGACTCAAGTGATTTTAAGAACATATTGTTTTGTTATAGAGAACACATATAAATGCTATTAGATTTGTGCAATAGGAAGTATCCCAGGTAATATTATTTAGAAATAAATTAAAAATTAATAAAATCTCAGTGACTGTGAAGACATCTTTTATTACCAAAATGTGCCCCTTTCCCTTACTATTTCTCATAGACAAAAATCTGTAAACTGGGAATCAGAATATTTGCAGGAAAAATTAGAAAAGACCAATGTTAAAGAATAAATAGAATTCTACAATTCTCTTTAAATAAATGCTGCAATAAATTACTTCCAAGGAATAACATAATTAATTTTTAAACTGGGAAAACTGGGAGTAGACAAAAAGAGTGCTTCCTAAGCATGGTACTTGTCTATAAATTCAACTGGTTATTATTGAGTTATTTTCCACATTTCTCTTTTATTATTTTTGTCACAGTACATGCTCTGTTTTCCTAAAGAGAAGAGATCCATCAATGACTCTTTTCCCTTCTATCAAATATCAAACTCACTTACTGATATGTCTTGCGAATATCAATACATTCATCACCATCATAGAACTTGGAGACTTGTCTTAACTTGCTTTAGCAGAAACAAATGCAAAGATATGTCATTAGAGATTGCTATGTTTAACAGAATTAAGAAAAAATGATTTGAACAAGAACCCCTTGAATCTAAGAGATACAACTTTTTCAAAAAAATTTTTAGAATCATTGTTCAGATAACTGTTCATGAATAATTCCAAGACTTAATTCTACAAATTTCTCTCTTCTCTCTTGTCTGTGTCTCACTTTGCCTCCACTGTGATAATGGCTATGGGTTTGAGACACCAACATCATGTAGAGACAGAGCTCTGGAGGGTGAGGAACAGGTTTAAGGTCTATTAATTTGACTCTTCTGCTTAGGGTTCCACTTTCTTCCTCCTTACCTCCCTTCTTGCTCTAAACACGACTTCTCTCTGTGTCTCTATGTCTCTGTGTCTGCCACTCTTTCAGTCTAGTGGTGTCACACAGGTGGCCAACATATGAGGAGTTCAAAGCACTCTTGTAAGCATTTCTCCTTACATTTAACTAAGACAAAAAGGTACTGACAGATACTACAGAAAGAGGACTTTAGAAAATAACATCATAATCTATACTGTCACTGATACTCCTAACAAACTCCACAAATCTCAATATCTTTCTTTTCTGGTGCATCCTAATACATTGAAATTTATATTTACATATATACATATATGTATTTTTAGATCTTACCTTTTGTTGATGCTTTCTTCCTGGATGTCTGATGTTATATCAGATGAGGCAATGCTAAAACAGTTTTTTTAAAAAAATATATAGTCAGCACATGATTTTATAAAATTGATTTTTGTTCAAATTGGATATAATTACTGTTTGACACTCATGAACTTGTTAACTTTTAGTAATTTAATGGAAAAGATTAAAATTTAATATAAATTTAATATAAAATGACAAAGGTTTAAACACTGCTCTTTCAAACTGAAACTGACCCCAATGTAAAACAGTATTTCATTATATACATTAGGGTTCAATTTTTAGGTCCATTTTTCACTAACATGCATTACTGATATTCCCACATGGAGTTACAGAATGTATTCAGCATGTCCATCCAACCTCCATTCACCCATTGCCCAGTAACCTTCTCAGTCCTTTGTAACCACCATATTATGCTTTCAAATCAACTCTTGCTCTTCCTCACATATAAGAGAAATTATGTGACCCTTGTCTTTCAGTACCTGCTCTACTTCACTCAACACAATGTCATCCAGTTCTGTTCATTTTACTGGGAATGCAAGAATTTCATTCTTTGGGGTTTAACAATATTTCACTCTATCCATATATCGCATTTTCTTCATCCACTCATCTCTTGGTAGACACCTAGGCTCAATGTTTATCTTGGCTATTGAGAATAGAGCAGTAATACACATGAATATGTGAGTACCTTTATTATATGTTATTGTTATCATATTATATGCATTATATAGTATATGTTGACTTTGTTTCCTGAGTGTAGGCCACGGGATCTCTTCAGATTGTTTGCCATTTTTTAAACCGATGTTACTGGTGTTATTTCTTGGATCTTTTATGTATTCTCATTATTGACGTCTGTCAGATGAATGGTTGAGAAACATTTCCTATGATCGGTACACTGTCTTTGCTCTATTATTTCATTATTTGGAAGAAGCTTTAAGACTTTTTAAAATTGTGTGTGTGTGTGTGTGTGTGTGTGTGTGTGTGTGCGTGCGTGCGTGCGTGTGTGTGTGTGTGTGTGTGTGTGTATGTGCGCGCGCGCGCATGCATATGCCACAGCCTGAGTGGAGATCAGAGCATAACTTGTATAAAGGAGTTCTCTTCTTCAGCCCTGGGGGAGCTCAGGTTTGGCGACTGTGCTTTAGCTGCTGGCTATCTTGCCCATTCCAGAAGCTTTTCATTTTTACACAGTCTTTGTCAAATTTCATGTTTGTTTCCTGTGCTTTTGGGGGCCTTCTAAAGATAATCATTACCTGTACCAATCTTGACGTGTTTCTCCTAGTAGTTTCTGGCCTTGATTAAAGTCCTTGCTACATTTTGAGTTGATTTTTGTGCAGAGTGAGAGAGGGGGATCTAGTCTCAATCTTCTGCATGGTTATGTCCAGTTTCCTCAGCATGGTTTGTTGGAGAGGCAGTTCTCAATCCAAAGTTGGGTTTCTGGCACCTTTGATGTGAATCAACTGTCTTCAACATGTGGGTTGTTACTGGGTTTTTACTCTGCTCCACTGGTCTATGTGCCACTTGATGGCAACACTATGTTGCATGCATTACTGTGGCCACGTGCTATGCTTTGTCGTCTGTCTTGGACCTGGGTGCTATAGAATGCCTCTAGCTTTAGCTCTCTAGGATCCTTTGTGCTTCCATACTTATTTCATGCTCAGCTTTTTAATTTTGCAAAGAACTTCATTGGCATTTTATAAAGGTTATGCTGATCAAGAATCTACTTTAATCCTTAGGTACCCATCTGTCTTTGGACACCGTTTTTTATAAATGTCAAGTGCATCCACCATCACTGGATCTTTCACAAATTGGAGTTGTTTCTGTCCCTCAGACACAGCAGTAACTGCAAACCTGAGGCAGAAGACCCTTTCAAAATGATGGTAGCTGTGGATTGTGGCACCGGCCTCTTGTGGAAGAGCTCAGAAGAGTGAAGGATATAGCTGTGGTTTATTAGCTTCTTTTATATTGTTTGAGAGTGCTTCTGTTCCCTGCCTACTGTGACCTCCTTTTTACTTCTAAATGGGCATTTCTCTACTCTTGGCCTACTCCACTCTCCTGTAACGCACAGACATTCTAGTATTTTCCTGTGGGTTTTGGCTGCTAGTAACTAAAAGTGAAGACTATGATTAATACTGAGGGGTCCCCCTTTGGTACAGTCCTCTTCTTTCTGCCATGATCTAAGGCACTAGGAATGCTACATTCAGAAGTTTGCCATGACAGAACATGAGAGAACAAAAGATCTGTGTTCCCCTGCATGGTCCTGACAGTACATGCCCCAGTCTTAAACGCTGCATGCTATGTTATTCTGGAAGGATTGGTATACACAGAGAGGAGAAGTGCCAGAAGAGATATTAATTTATTTATATCTTACAGTATACTGGTGGACACAGTTGAGCATACTGTTTTCAATCCGCTTGAGACTGTGCTAAAGGATAAAGAAAAAAAAAACTCAAATGAGTTCAAGTTAATTACGATCTAATGATTATAATTGTCTTCCCATCTATAAACTTTTTGACCCTTAAGACTTTTCATCTATAGGGCAGGTGCTATAGTTCCATGGGAAATGCACCTGCCTAATGTGTGCAAAGGTCCTAGCAAAGTACTGAAACTTGTCATATAAATCAACTGTTTTATAACCTAATACATATTTCCTTAAACGATGTTTCAGATTTTAATAAATACTTTAGTCTTATTTAAAGAGAGAAGTAGCTGGATGTTGTGGCATACTGCTATAATTCCAGTTTTTGAGAACCTGAGGCAAGAGGATCACAGGTTCAAATTCAGCCTGGGCTACATAGCAAGACATCTAAAAAAAAATAAAGAAAACAAACAAGAGAAAAGTAATTAGCATTCTTACTACTGAACCTGAACCAATATATCAAAGTTATGGCTGAATTTACTTCAAATCCTATTCAGTGCATAGAATCTGATCTGGCTTATCACATCTGACATCTTGTTTCCCAAGTGTCTCCTTCCTCCTTTATCACACCTGACATCTGGTTTCCCAAGCGCCTCCTTTATCCTCTTATTCCCAGCAGCTGTTACTACACCAGAAAGCATCTCACAGGTGTGAGTAAAGTTCTTCAGTATATGATGTTTTTTGTTTGGGAACACCTGCTTCATCTGGTAGCTGAGCTCTGGAGACTGACAAAGGTATCAATCAAGGGTCCATTGCTTTGGTTCTTTTTCACCATGGGCTCCCCTGCTTCCTGATCCCAGCTATCCCATCACTTCAAACAGGAGCCTCTGCTTTCTTACTCAGGGTAATAAAGTTTAATACACAGAAACTTGGAAATTTCCCTAACAGTTCCAGCTGGTGGTTAAGAGTGTCAAACACACCACGAAGTGTGCTTTATGAGATGTACCTCTTTTATTCAAATTGGTCCAAAATGATAGGAAGGTCCATTTACATGCTAGATAGACCACTCCTAGCAGCCTCCAAATCTTACATCTTTTTATGCTTCTGGGTGTGTATATAAGGGTGCATCTGTTGTTGAGTGTATGTCAAAATACAAATGGCATGTATTTATATCCATACACATTCCATTATTCATTACTGATACATTTGTTAACACATTAGTATATATCTCACAGTTCACTGTCAGTTCCATCACCACGCAGTGACACAAACTCATTCTGGGAAAGGCTAGAAGATATAAAAAAATACATATAATTAGATGTCACAGATATAACTTTCTGGTTCAAATTCACTTAAGTTATTCTAAACACTATGAATTGACTAACATTTACCCACATGGCAGTGTTACTTGAAAACTTCCATATATTCTTCCTACAAACCACAAACTGATATCGAGGCTCCATTGCTGAAGACAGCACCTATACAACTCATTGAACATGGAGAAGTCAAGTTGGTGCCTACATAGAGCATTGACCCCTATATGCTAGCGTCTTTGGTGCAGGAAGTTATTCTGCAGGCTACCAAAGAAGAAATGTAAACACCAACCAGATGCAAACACTTTGAGCTACAATGGTGTCCTGCCTATAAGATATGTTAGGGCAATGGTGACACAAAGCTTGTGGGAGTAACCAACCAACATCTGATTTGACTTAAGCCTGGAAAATGAGATGGAACCTATACTCAAAACAGCTTGGATGACAAAGAACAAGATGGCTGAGGGACCTAGAGGAAAACGAAATATAACTGTTCTACAAAAGAATGTAGTAATGAAATGACTCCTAATGATATACTGCTATATTCTTAGATCAGTGCCCATGCTCAGTCATCACCAGAAAAGTTTCCTCATGCAGTAGATAGGAACAAGTACAGAGATCCATAGCCAGACTATATGCAGGAATGAGACACAAGGCCTTGCACACATGCTGAACAAGTTCTGAGGCAAAGCTTCCATCTGAGGAAATCACACACTTGGAGCATTTGAACCACTGGTGGTAGAGCTCTGGAGATGAGGGAAAGATCTAGTATCTTCTAGACTGTTCTAATATTCTGCTGGGGCCTCTTCTCCCAGCCCATTGCTGCGTCCTCCTGTACTGGGGATCCCTTCTATCTGTGACCTGTAGAACTTTTTACATAGTAACTAAAGGTGACAAACACTAGACAAGACCATCTCTCTGATTTGTTCTCTTTTTCTACATGACTCAAAAAAAAAAACCCCACAAAGAATATTTATGAGAAGACACTAGAAACAGTTGAAAAGGGAACTTGTAATAGTATAGATGCATTTGACTATGAATAACACAGATATCAATCTCTGTGGGTACACGTGTATACAAGCACATATGTACACACACATATATATACTCACACACATACACACACTTATATAAATATTTACTTATTCATTTATATCTTACATTTCTTTCATTAAGTCACTTGAATTCCGTTCATACAGGGATGTGCTAAAGGATAGAAACAGACATAGGAAGATGTGATATCCTAGAGTTAATTCTTTGGAATATGATATGACATTTCTCATAGAAATGATGTCTTACATGATTATACAGAGTAGGAAAAAATAAAAATTAGTAACTCAAGATTGAAATACAGTTTCATTTTTCCTGTTAAACCTGACATCACATTAGCCACTATTGGTCTTTTCGGTGAGATTTATTTGAAACTCCACTTGATTTTGTAGGCACTCAGATCTTCAATCTCATTTGATGTCCTAGTTCCCAAACCCCTCCATTATCTCTTTATTTTCACCCACCTTTGCTAAATTATCTGACCATGAGATGTGAGACCCAAGACACTGTTTTCATCCAATACAATGATAGCCTGAGGTTTGGAATATGAGTTTTAATTAGTGGTAGAGATCTGGAGAGTGACAGACACATTAAACTTTTATTAGCTCCATTTTTTTTTCACACTGAGAGCTAGACTGCTCCTCATCCACTGCTAATGTCCTCTTGTCGCGTAAAGAGGGTTTTCTTCTCTCTCACTCCACTCAAAATATTAATCTCATTCTTTTTTATGTTTCTATGATTATATGTTTGCTGCATGTGTATTTTCTTTATTAACTTATAACATAGACATTTCCATGGTGATTCCATCACAAATAAATAATATCACTTCATTTTGTGAGAGTTGAAAGTAAACTACAAGGAAAAACTATATAAATTCACAGACCCTTTTAAATTCATACAATTCCCTCTAACAACATATAAATTGGTTGGACCCTGAACCTCCATCTCATCTAGACCTGAAGAAGTATCCCGATCAGAGCTGGAGAGATGGCTCGGTGGTTAAGAGCACTGGCTGCTCTTCCAGAGGTCCTGAATTCTATTCCCCTCAACCACATGGTGGCTCACAACCATCTATAGTAGGATCTGATGCCCTCTTCTAACATGCAGAAAGAGCACTCATATGCAGAAGATAAATAAATAAATCTTTTAAAAATGTGTTTTTTTAAAAAAAGAAGTATCCTAGCTGGGTGGTGGTGGCACACACCTTTAATCCCAGCACTCAGGAGGCAGAGGCAGGTGGACCTCTGAGTTTGAGGCCAGACTGGTCTATAAGAGCTAGTTCCAGGACAGCCAGAGTTACAAAGAGAGACCCTGTCTGAAAAAAACAAAAAGAAGAGTAAGAAGAGGAGGAGGAGGAGGAGGAGGGGGAGGAGGAGGAGGAGGAGGAGGATCCTGATCATAATCTAGACTCCTTTCAGTCAGTTTGACCAAGAAGACAAAGTTATCCATAGATGTAGACTCATACAGTGCCCAAAATACTCTGTATTGTCGAGAATATTATGCACAGTAGATTTTACAAAACTGAACTTTGCCTTCTTTGTTCTATGCTTTTTGTGTATCATCTCTGTACATATTCACGGAAGCATGTGTTCTCATGCTCATGTTTACATATAGGTGTGTGTGTGCTGTCATAAATTAACTTGTAACTTGACTTTTACAATTCATTCATGTGTGATCTAAAGTATTTGAAAGTACAGTCATATACCAGGTATAAATATAAATAACTTCTGGAATCAAATGACTACATTAGTTCTATGAGTTCTGGGTCATGAACTGATTAAGTTTTAAGTACTCATGTATATCACTAATTCAAATTTGGCATTTTATATTAGAAAAAAGCCTATGTTTATATGGTGATAATGAATTCCTTGTGTAAGTAGTAACTCACTTATATTTAAGTAGCCAGTGTCTTAATTCCAACATATAACAGGTTTTTTTTGGATGGGATTTATTTCAAATTCAGCTACAGTTTATAGACATTTATTCTTCCTACCAGTTTTAAGGCCTCCTTGGTTTCATTTGTTGTGTAATATATGATGAAGTGAAGCAGCTATGGGCCTACAAAAGGAGCTCCATCCAATGTGGTGATGGCCTGGGCTTTGGGTTGCCAGTCTTATGTAACGGCAATGCTCTGGTGGGGCACATCTGAGGTCCAGTACCTCTAGTCATTTTTGCTGAAGGCTCTTCTCTGTCCTGACCCCTGGCTTCTGCCATTCTTCCTTGCCTTCTTTTCCTTTCATCTAACCCAGCAGACTGCCATACACAAACATACTGAAAATTTCCTCGGGGTTTAGTTTGTGATTGCTCAGACTTTCAGCCAAATTAAGTGGTGATAGGAAGGACTTAGTGACCAAATCTGTCCTCCTCTGTGGGTTTGTCAGTATGTATGCCTCCGTGCGTAAATTTAGGGTTATGTATCTGCTCATGTGTCTTTTGCCATATGAGGTCTCACAGCTCATTCATAGCTTCTCGCCATGTTCTAACTCATATAGGGAAGTGATACAGGATTTAAAGACACACATGGATAACATGATGTGACTTCCTGGACTTCATGATCTTCCAATTGCTTTTACTAACATACTTGGTTATTCTGAAACTTTCAGATCACTTTTCCAACAAAATGAATTTTATATATTTTGAATAGACATATCTTGTCTGGTAAAAAAACAAAGTTCAGTAAGATTTTTATCTGGTGTTTAGCTTTCTGTTTTCAGTTTTTTTTTTTTTCCACTGCCACTGCAAATGCAGTTTCTAGGTACAAATCCCTTCTACCACATCCAACGATCTGGACATTTACTTCTTACTACTACCCTCACAGAGACTTTCTCTGCCCTTACATAAGTTCACGTACGTAAGTTCAGAGCTGGAGGGCTCTGAACAGTGGTGTGCAGTAGGTTTGTGCTTGGGGTTCCTACCTCAACATGGCGGCAGAGTTCTAAAGGTGAATGGATTCTTACAGTAATACTAGGTGTGTTCTCAGCCAAAGGTCCCTCTGCTCCTTCTTGTTGTTCCTTCTTCTGGCTCCAATTAGAGTCTCTCTAGCCTTCACCCAATGTGCCATATAAAAAGTCTGAGTGTCGGAAGCATTTAACTGCTACAAACACAGAAGGACAATACACTGACAGGATGAATCATCCTCCCAAGAGTGATTCTCTTTATTCAACCTGAACTAAATGAAAAAGACTGCTTCCTACAAATACACCAGGAAGAACGTTTAGAAACAGTTCAGAGCTGGACGGTGGTGGTGCATGCCTTTAATCCCAGCACTGAGGAGGCAAAGGCAGGTGGATCTCTATGAGTTCTATACCAGCCTGGTCTACAAGAGTTAGTTCCAGGAC